CACACACACATACATACATACATACTTACATACATACATACACACATATACATACATACATACATACAAACATACATACATACATACATATATCAATACATACACACACACGTACGCACGCATGCATACATACATACATTCATGCATACATACATACATACATACATACATACATGCGCACTCATGCATACATACATACATACATGCACACACACTCATAGGAGGATGCATTAGACGACATAAAAATTAAAAGCTATATTTACCATGCTTGGAGTCAAACTGTCGTCACCAAATAACGGTGCCTCCCTGCAGGAAGGCGTGTGCTTCGACACATGGGTAACGCGACACCTCTTTAAAAAGTGTCATCATTAGACAGTCTTTGTAAGACAGCTTGAAACCTTGTCAACCAGGTTGCACACTGCCGTCCTCGGCTGGGTCCGAACCTGTGGATCTGGGGAGACCAAGTCACCATGCTAATAAAACTCCACACAACTAACCGGGAAGGCTAACCCGAATCACAACTGCCAGGAAAAGTTAAATATGTAGGCTGAAAGACACAAATATCATAGCTATGCTGTAAACAGGTGCAGCGTATTTACATCACTCGGACAACAATGAAGAAAAAAGAAGATACAGCTCGAAACCAACAACTGTGGAATTTCAACAATTCGTTTCAAACCATTGAAATAGTACAATAGTTTACATAAGTTTATATTAACCAAACATAGGTCCAATAACAAACGCAACGCATGCAGACTAGACTTTGTCTCGTGACTGATAAAACATTGATTTTGAACTTTCTGTTCTGTAAGTTGCCGCACTTGATGCAGATCTGCATCACTTTTATTCTCGTGTGAACCATTACTGGAAGACCCATGGAAATACAACTCTACGACATGTGACTGTAGTCAGCACTGGAGGTGGCTATAGAGATGTCCAAGTTCGCTATGCTCTAACCACATTAAATGGGGTGAGACAGTTTACTTATGTTTTTGTTTGTTTAAAGAATTTTTGTCCTGAGTGAGTTGATGTTGTGGTGGTTAGACACTCTCCAGCGGGCCTGAAGTATTGAGTTTGAATTATAATTGTCCCCATGTGGGTTCCGGGACCCTATTTGGGGGAGGGAGGGGGGGGGACCTACTGCCCCCTAACAAGCTTGTTGTTAAAGGCTTCTAATTTGGGGTGTTTCCTTCAAAGTAGACTTGCATCTACTGGCGAGACTAGGAAGTGACAGTCTGCATACAAATAAGCCGGGTCTATAAAATAGATGTGCATGAAAAACATGTTCTGGAACAAGACCAAAGTTCAGAAGAAGAAGAAGAGGAAGCCCAATAAAGGGAAAAGAAAAAACTTGCACTTTGTCGATTTTTGTCTTTGCCTGTTTCGTTCTTTTTCCATTTGTTGCTCTTCTTCTTCCTCTTCTTCTTCTTCTTCTTCTGCTGCTGCTGCCACCGCCTCCCCCTCTTCTTCTTCTTCTTCTTCTTCTTCTTCTTCTTCTTCTTCTTCTTCCTTACTCTTGATTTATGCCACCCTATCAAGTTCTTGTGATAATGGCCTTTAGTTTTGGTGTACCTCTTTAGTTCCACACAGTTTTGAGTATAGTGTTCACAGCTGATTAAGAAATGAATACCGGCCCAGTGAGTAGAGTTTCTTGGTCATAGCCAGTCACAGAGAAGAATGGTAGTGGGTGATATCTCAAGCAGTTAACCTCAAAGGCTCTGAAGGCTGAAGAAGAAGAAGGTCATGTCTCTTCAGGTTTTTACATTGGCTCCTCTGTCTCACTTGTTGCATTAACTGGCTCAGTTCATTATGATTATTATTTAAACTTATGAGGACATATTTGTTATTAATTGAAATTAAACATTGTTTCACATGAAATGAGTTAAAGTAAAACTGCCTGTTACTGAAAGAGTCAGTTAGACTCTTAAAAGCCTTTCTGGTCATTACAAAACCCTGCAACTGGGCGGGGACTGAATTTGAACCATTATCTTCATAAACCAGTTTACCAACCACTTTGCCATCCAGGCTGCTGGAAGATAGACTACAGAATAATATGTCTTTGACACTGGCAGACATTTGCTGTAGAAGTCATCACAAGGTAACCTAATTTACAAGAGAAAACATTTTTCTCTTCATAAAACATAAAGCCTTAATTTAACCTACTAAAAATTATCTATGTTACAGATTGTTGCACCAGACAGGGAAGTCAGTGTTTCAGTAAGTCAGATTTAATATGTTGTATTCAGTGTTTTCCTGTTAAACAATCTGAAAGACTGTTGCTTGTCCATCTCTTGATCTCTCTCTAAAGAAAAGTTCATTTGTTTGTTCTTCTTGACATGGATAGAGCTTATGGCAGATAGCACAGAAAAGCTGCATACACAGAAACAAAGTTAAATAGGAGTAGACCACGAGGTAGACCAAACTGTCAAGAGAGATACAGGCAGACCCACAAACACTTGCAGTCATTAACTGGACAGAGAAGACCAGTCACAGAGATGGCTGGAGGCAGATAATATCTGCAACAGATTCTTCATTAGTCCATATGCTAAAGAAGAAGAGATACATTCTTTACCATCAGCCACTAATAGGAGAAGTTAGATTGCTTTAGAACTACCTAATGTTAAATGTTAATGTTAAATGCCGACGCTCAGCATTCAAGGAAAGGTCGAGACAGATATACAAGCAGACAGTTACTGGTGCCATCGGAATAGAAACTCTTCATTTGCTGCTGAAGATGTGGACGGAGCCCTTATGGGGGTGTCCCGGGTGCTATGATGTCAATTTTTAATTCAACATTCAACATTTTACCTAATGTTAAGTTATTAATGAGAGGCTGAATGTATAAATTTTACCTTATCTTCACAGACAACTTCTGTTCCCAAAGCCTGGGTATCCACAGATCACTTATGTGCTGTGTGGTAAGTGATCAGATACATTTGATCATTTATTTTTTTTATGTTTATTGTCATATTTATAATTTTTTTCTTCATTTCAGTCTTGTTACTCTGGCGAGTATAGTATGAAATAATAAAAATGTCCGAACAGTCACTGGTATCAAGCATTGTAAGACAAAGTAGATGGGGATGTATTGGGCACATCCTGAGAAAAAAAGTGACTGAGTGTACCCAAACAGGCACTGAAAGGGGAAACAAAGGAATAGAAGAAATGAGGATGTCCTAGAGAAACCTTAAAATAAACATTGATGAGAGAGGCCAAGGGTGCAGGACTGGATTCCATTGAATATATAAAAAGGATTTCATAGAATTGAATGGAATTAGAGGGATAGACTGTGAGCCTTATGTGACATATAATGACACAGTAGGATCATTATGATGATAATGAATGTCATTAGAAGACATAATGTTCCATATGGATATCTGAGGAAATTATTGAGAAAAAAATGCACAACAAATCCATACTAGTAATGTTTCCAAGCATCCACGCCCTGCTGGCTAATCTCAGCTTACATAGACCAGTCTTGTAGTTCCCCAAGCATTCACACCCTGCTGGCAAATCTCAGCTTACATAGACCAGTCATGTAGTTCCCAAGCATTCACACCCTGCTGGCAAATCTTAGCTTACATAGACCAGTCATGTAGTTCCCAAGCATTCACACCCTGCTAGCAAATCTAAGCTTACATAGACCAGTCATGTCGTTCTTAAGCATCCACACCCTGCTGGCAAATCTCAGCTTACATAGACCAGTCTTGTAGTTTCCAAGCATTCACACCCTGCTGGCAAATCTCAGCTTACATAGAACAGTCTTGTAGTTCCCAAGCATCCACACCCTGCTGGCAAATCTCAGCTTACATAGACCAGTCATGTAGTTCCCAAGCATTCACACCCTGCTGGCAAATCTCAGCTTACATAGACCAGTCATGTCGTTCTCAAGCACTCACACCCTGCTGGCAAATCTTAGCTTACATAGACCAGTCATGTCGTTCTCAAGCACTCACACCCTGCTTGCAAATCTTAGCTTACATAGACCAGTCATGTCGTTCCCAAGCACTCACACCCTGCTGGCAAATCTTGGCTTACATAGACCAGTCATGTCATTCTAAAGCATGGCTGTAAACCACACCACAATGTGCTTGATACCCTTTTGAGGGTGAATACACACAAAAAATGATTCTTTTCCCCTGTAATGGATATTAAGTGGTCTTCATTACTTATAAACGAACAAATGAGCAAACTTTATTTTCAGAGGTCAGTCAAATTGTTCCCCGCAGGCCCTGCTTACAAATCAGTGTGCATAGCACAGTCATGCACGCACCCAAGCACTTACACCCTCACTGGCAAATCACACATATTTATTCACTCACTTTTCACTCACACATACACACATATGCATACATACATACATACATCTATCCATCCATACATACATACATGCATACATACATACATACATACATACATACATACATACATACATGCATGCATGCATGCATGCATGCATGCATGCATGCATGCATGCATACATACATACATTCACTCACTTACTCACACATACGCACATATTTATTCACTCACTCCTCACTCACTCACGCATATGCATATATACATACACACACACATTACACATACACTCATTTATACAAATAAAAACACTCTCATATATACCCACACATTTACTCTCATGCATATATACATACATAGATGCATACATAAACATACCCACATATTCATACATAAACATACATGCTAATGCATACACATACAATCATATATAAACAGCCACGCACTCTGAAACACACATACACACATATGCATATGTACATACATACATACACACACACACACATTACACATACACTCATTTATACAAATAAATACACTCTCATATATACCCACACATTTACTCTCATGCATATATACATCCATAGATACATACATAACTATTCTCTATAGATATATAAATAAAATAAATCTTCAAAAATTTTTTTATATGTGGAAATGACCTGTTCATAAAACAGCTGCTACATTTCAGGTGCCGCCAGATGGTCTTACTGACAGTGAGAGCTTTATTTGATACAGTCGACAGACATACTGGACAGGTTTGTATAAACTGAGAAAGGCCATAACAATAGACGACTCATTATTCTAATAAGATTCAATAAAATATAAATGGATATTATTATTATGTAGGCACATTATAGAAATGTGTTTTCACTTGTATAAAAGCTAAGTATTATTATTATTCTTTTAGTTCAAACAGCTGCCTGCATGGCAAGTGCCGCCAGATGGCCTTATATGCCACTGCAGGCCTTTGTTTGATACTGTGTTGCAAAAGTACTGGACAGGTTTGTAAAAACTGTTTAACTGTTCTCTCTTTTCTCATATTCTCACTGCTCAGTTGCGTCATTTTCCCCACATTGTGCTACTTGCCCGACAGTTCATGAGTATCGAAACTGGCATGTTATTGTATTTCTAGGTTCCTTATCAGGGGCTTCTTTCTCTGGAGGAAAGCCACCACCAAGGAACGTAGAAATATAAAAAATCCCAGTTTCGATACTCACGAACAGTCGCGCCTTCAGCGCTTCCCTCTGCAGTACTTCTTACTTGTACACGGGGGCCGCAGAGAACTTCATGACAACACAATCTCTTTTAAACATTACTTACGGCAAGCTAACACCAAACGAAGCCATCTCAAAACACCTCAACTACATAGGACAGGCCCTGCGACCTGAAAGGCCTGAATGACAAGGGAAGGAACTCTTGCATTTCGAGCAAGTTTGTGATAAGTTCCGTTATTATTACCTTTTATAGTTGAATGTTTCTTCTGGAATATATTTCTGCTTTTTATATGTTTATGTAGGTATCATGCTGAAAGGAAAATTTCTTTTTGTGTGTGTGTGTGTGTGCCTTATGTAACTTTATTATTTTAAAGTGCTAAAATTGTTTTAATAAATCTCAGCATTTTAATTTTAAATATTAGAATTTTAATTAATCTAATATTTTTTTTAAAAATTCCTGTTTAGATCTCATCAGATGCTGATTTGCGGATGAAAGTTTTTCAAGCATCATTTCCTGTCTAATAATGGCATATCAAACTATTTGACCCATGAAGAAAATAAAACTATCATCTTGGACCCTAAAGCTAAATGGGAGGTCCACACTGAGAGATTGTGGAAATTTGCCTCAAGGAAGGTTAGTTAAGTGACAAATACTTCTTCTTTTTTGTCTTCTGCCTTTTATCCTTCACTGGTAACATATGCCAACCAACTTATGGACCCCAAAGCTAAATGAGAGGTCCACACTGAAAGACTGTGCATGTAGTCCTCAAAGAGAGTTAGTTTATTGACAGATATTTCTTTCATCTTCTGCCTTTTAGCTTCACTAGAAAATATGCCCTCAACCAACTCACGCCAGGGCATCGCCTGCAGTTCCTCTCATGTCCTTTCCATATTGTTAATCTGTGTCATAATTCTCTCCCCTCCCTTTACACTCACCCTTAAAAGGGCAGTTAACACATTGTGTTGTGGTTTACAGCTGGGCTGCGATATCTGTTTAAGAAAGTCCTTAATTAGTTACCTTTTACAGCATGCTTATTAAGTAGGGAGCAGTGAGTCTATTCTTGTACCCCCAAAGCGGGGCCCTACAACACTCACTGGGAGTCTTTGACTCAATTTCAGTCACTATATTCTATTGCAGATACTATCATATGGGTATAAAGTATGTATGAGACCATAACATATAATAGATTACATTACCAGCTCTTCTCCCTGTGCTCCCTTTCTTTCATAGAAACAATTCTGGTACACATTGAATCAAGTTAGGTTGAACCTTGAGCAGTATTGGCCATGAACATAATCCAGAACTTAGGTCACCTTTTTTATGTGGCCGAGTCATCCCAACAACTGAACCTTTTAGAGGCAAACTGCAGGGGATTGAACTGATACTTGAAAGTTTAAAGAAATATTTTTTTTTAAAGTAAGAGAATTTAATTTGTTGTTGCACCGTTTTATCCCACATGGCTGAGTCTCTCTCTGCAGAGTGTCTGCTGCACTTTATCCCAAGTCGTCCTGCCCTTAGCTATCGCAAACATTTCACCCTATCGTTTTAACTCATCTCACTGGCTGCCTTTTTCCTCTGTTTCTGGTCTGCCTCTATCCCTCTCAACCTGAGGTTGCAGTGCAAAGACATTCTAGTTACAGGAAGTTTTTTTTTCAAAATGTGTCCTGTCCAGTGCCAGTGTCTTTTCCTCACATCTTGATTCACTGGAATATTTTTGTTCATCTCCTGAGTTTGCTAACAGGTGTCACACAATGCACAAAACTCTCCAGCTCTAGCAACACTCCTCAAAAGTTTACAAAACACTCACACTTGCGAACTTTCGAACAGAGTCAGAAACTGAGTTCCTGGCTGTTAGAGTAAAATGACTCAACCTCTTCACAAGCAAGTGCACTTATCATTATACTTCTTTTAGATATCAGCATGCAAGCTTAGCTTTTTTCTGTGTTCTTTTGTGAACATGTTTGAGCTTGAAAGCTAGGCTGTTTTTTTCCCTATAATGTTTATTTGCAGGTGACGACAACAACACTTTTCGCCATCCCTCTTGCGGCTGAAGAAGGTAAAAATTATGACGCAGTTCTCATCATGAGCAACTTGGTAAGACAGGATTTTCACATGTTTTGATATTTATTACACCTCTCTTTAGTCATCCTAGAAACTGGTTCTCAGCCAGGAACCTAACCAACATAGATAAGATCACATGTTTCTTCACAGTCGGAATGCATCAGCCTGAGAGGCAAGAAACTGACAGTCTGCACACAGATAGGTCACATCTGTAAAACAGATGTGTACACAACACTCAAGTCCTGGAACAAGACTAAGGTCTCAGACTTTCTGCTGGAGTTTACAGCTGGTGAACAAGAAGAAGAAGAAGAAGAAGATCTGCTCTGATCAGCTTTTGAGAGTTGCAGGAGCTAGCATGCTTGCTGTGAGGTCATTAGAGGACGTTTAAAAAAAAAAATCTTTATTAGGATGCAGAGGTGTATCATCACATTTGATGGTTGAATAGGAGCAGGCTGAACCAACAGTCTGCAAAAAAATGAGCAAGATTTGTAAAACAAATGTGCCATTTAGGTTCCCAGACCCCATCTTCTTGGGAAAGGGGGGAACCGACCCACAAGCATGTCATAAAAGGCAACTAGTTAGGGACTTCCTGAAAACCAGAAATTTTTTTTTTTACTAAAAGGCACATATATCACAGGATAGCTATAAACCACAGTGTGTCAGCTGCCGTTTAAAAGGCAAACATAGAAGAAGAAGAAAACAAATCTGCACACAACACTCAAGTCCTGGAACAAGATAGTTCAGACACAGACGACCAGCCAGGACTTTCTGTCAGAGTTCACAGAAGAAGAAGAATTCTCTTCAAAGGGGGTAGCAGGAAATGATATGTGAAGTAAAGGTGGCCACATCAGTCAGTGAGTGCTGATTGATGTAAAGTGTTTCATAAGTCCCACCTCAGTGACTTTGCTTCCCGCTGATACGTTTTCCCATTATGAAACTACACAAGTCTCATGATGCCATACGCAGTTATTCAGAAACTTTGACTGTGGACGGACTTGTTGAACACTGTATGTAACTACGTGGTTGAGGTTAGCACAGAGTATATACTTCAAAGTATGGTAAATGATCCGTTTGCTATCTGTAGATCTAAAACTTGTCATTTCAACTCTTTCTGACTGCAGTTTGGTCAGATGAGCAGGGATCCTCTTTTTTATTCATCGTCTGTAAGCTCCGGCCCAGCGGAAAGTCCTGGTTTTTCATCCATTTGGACTTTGGCTTTAGGGCCAGGGCCTGAGTTTTTGTGTGTACATCTGTTTTACTGGCATATTTGTCTGCAATTGGTTGTTCCTTGCTGCTCGAGCAGATGCACTCCAGCTTCAAAGGAAGTTCCCAATTAGTCAATTCCTTCGCATGCTTGTTGGGAAGGCAGTGGATCTGTTCTTGTTTTACCCACAGAGGAGTTGCCGAACCCTGTCGGGGAAGTGGGCAGGGATCAAAGAAGGAAGAGGAAAAAATGCTGTGCTGAGACATATTTTGTTAATGGGATTGTAAAGTCTGCTTGAGTGAGCAGAGATCGAAGAGGAAAGCCAATCAGAACACAATAAATACTATACTAAGTCAGATAGTCAGGATTCAGTCTCCAGAAGTACAGCTCCAGGATCAACCTAGCTGCATAAATAAGAATAATTACAGTCAGACTGCTACTGGTACGATCAGAATTTGAACTTCAGACATGCAACATAGACCTACAGCCTAACTATACAGTCACAACAACAATCCCAGGCATAGACAGAAAGGTTGAAGAACGTAAACTAGTACTGCATGCAAAGACCCTTGAACATGACTACAGCTATTACCCCAAAACACAAAGGACACACGTATACACCGATGGATCATCGAAGGGAGCAGCAAAAAATGGAGTTGCTGGTTCGGTCATCATGCTGCAAGATGGGGGGACAGTAGAAATGTCATGTGCCTTCAGAAAACTCAGCAAATTTTAGAGAAAAGCAGCGAGCAATTAATGATGCAATCATAGTGCTTGTGGACATAAAAATTAAAAACAGCAAAGTTGTTTTCCTATGTGACTGCATGTTAGTCCTCTAGGCGACTCAAAGGGATCCACGAGACCACATGGAGAGAGAACTGACCTGACAGAAAACAATCAAATCATTCCCTTGTGGATCCCGGCTCGCTGCAGTGTACCAGGAAATGAGTTAGTGAACAGACTTGCAAAAAATGGAACAAAGGAGAAATAACGCACCCATTCATTGTCATTACCAGAATCAAAAACACTTATCAAGGCAAAATACAAGTAATTTTGGAGAGAAAAAGCTAACAGTAAACATCCACAAGACCCCATCAGCAGACTCAACAGAATGCAACATACAACAATTTCCCATCAAAGAACAGGTCACTGCAGGCTCAACTACTACATGCATAAAATAAAGACTGTACAGTCCCCACAGACAGGACCACAAACACCTGAGCACATTCTGCAGTCTTGTCCACTTTACTTACAACTTCGAACTGAAACCCTGCCTCAAGAGCAAAGTGTGCAGAGCAAGCTATGTGGAATCATGAAGGACCTGCAGCTGACATGCGAGTTCAAAGAGGTAACCCTACTGATGGTCTGATCATAGTTTTCTGAGAGTCTGTTTAGCTGGCAGGTCAGGTCACATACGAAACTGAAAACAAAGAAGAAGAAGAACTCTGGGCTGGCTGCTGAAGATGAGGGCACAGCACTTATGAAAATGTTCTGAATGCAGTGATGTTGGTTTTTAGCTTGGCTCAAAGTTAAATACAATAATTCCTCTTAGGAATTGCTTTGTGAGTATTTGACTTCAAACATTTTAGTGCTTGGGTTCATTGCTAAACTTTCTCATCATTTCATTGTTTAGGTGTTTATCTTGTGCTGCTCTCTATAGCTGAATTCATGTCTACATTGAGACATCTGTCCATATCTACTTTATAAATAGTTTCCTTGGTCTATCTTTGTCTCTATTGCCAATATTTTTGCTTTTTACTGCACTTTGCCTTTTCATGTGTTAGAACTTTTTGAGTAGTATCCTATTCAAGTTTGAGACATGCAACTGTTTTTCATTTTTTTTTTTTAGAGCAACTCAGACTGGGTTTGTTATTGTGATATACCGAAACATCAAGAGAAATGGTGAGTGATGACCGAGCGTACACTTTAATATTATTCACTTAGTAGCATTTTTGTTCCCCCTTTAATTGATCCATGGGCCCCTGAAAAAAAAGGGGGGGGGGGGTGGGTGTGTGTGTGAGAGAAGGTCTACACTCCACCTTTCCACCCACACCCTTCCCTGAACCCTCTTCCCCCCAACAAACATGTTGTAAGAGATTACTAGGAGTTTGCTGAAATTGAATGTTGAACCACGCCTAAGAAATATAATGAAAACAGAGCAAGAGATGGAGTGACAGGAACCTAACAGAAATTAACACCATCTTGCACTGTGCATAGGAAAAAGCGCACAAACGATCCTTTCATCTTCTCCCAACACCTCACAGAGGTAAATGGTGGAAGAGAAGAAGAAGAAGAATGTTGGATCCAAAAGCTCAGATATCATGACCAAGCTGGGAATCACAAAACAGTATGCCAGCTGCCTGTCTAAGAACAGTCACTGAAAATCATATAAGAGGTTGCTGACTTGTGTATGTTGATTAGCACAGGATAGGTTAAATAATGAAATACGCCATTCATTTAGGGAGCCGTCTCAGCGTAACTGGCTAGACACTTGCCTGACGACCAGAGTGTTGTGTGCTAATATGGGAAAACAACACACGAACATCTGACCAAGTGTCTAGGATATGATTCACCCTCCAAACTATTGTACCCAACTTAACGCACAAAATGTCAGGAAAACTCAGTGATGTGTTGCGGCCATATATGCACATTTTTTTCACAAAAACATTCGGGTACATACCACCCGCACATAAAATACTGCAAGCAAAGCAGTCATACACTTGTCCAATCACTGGCTAATCATGCAATGAATATCCCACGCTTCACTCACTCAAATTGGTTTACAGATGCTCCCTCGGACAGATTACCCTAGCTGCCACTCCACGCTGAGCTGACCGCTACAGTGCCTAGGTCTCTCAAGCTACCCTCACATTAGGGCTAGCTGTAAGGATGAACAGGTTCCATCGACTACTCAACTTGACCTCCATTGCTCTATGTGTAGCAGACACTGTCACATCGACTGATAAGAAAAACTTCACTATCCTTGATCTTCAGAATGTGCACATCAGCCTGGTCGAAAGAAACCACGATGACCGGCAGGACTGCCAGCTCTAAGTCCTCTTCAGCACACAGCTGTCGCCGACATCTCTACAGTCTTGTTTCACTAGTGATCACGACCGCCACACATGCTTCGTCACCCAAGACAGCTTCTTCTCGAAGTAGTTCCAGCTCTCTTGGCTCAACTCTGCCAAATGGACTTCTCTTCCTTCGTCTGCACTCTCGACTGTCCTCTAGTCTAGTCTCTCGCAAGTGCTTCTCTTCTCAACTGTTCAAGCTCTCTGTCTCAAATGAACTCATCAACATTATATACGCATGCCTGCCCCTATGAGCTCTTCCATGCAACACAAGCCGCTCACTGTAATGCATGATTCCCCTTCATTGAGAAACCCAAATTTCTTCATGCGCCTCTTGCTATCCACGAACTGAGTATGATAATTTGCCCCGCACAGGGCTGATACTTCGTGAACCAACTCCTCTCTGGTCTTAAGTCAACACAGACTTCTAATATTGACTCAAGCTGAACTGAAATCTTATAGCTTAAGTCAACACAGACTCAAATATTGACTCAGGTCACAGGATATCTTAGTGGACTCACGAATCTACGGTTTGCACAACATTCTCATAAACAGTGTTGAACCCCCCTCGGAATCTACATGCAACACCGAGGCTCTTGGTTTGGAATCAGCATTTGAGTCATATTTTTTCAAAATTAACTTTGGCTCCTAGGTTGTCTTCAAATGGGTACGAGATAATAACCTGGAAAGCAAAGACAGCCCATAAGATATTTTCTACATCATCCACAGAGTGCAGACTGGTCCTTAAAAATATGAGTCTAGTGTCATATGTCTGATGCACCATTGTTGTCTTTGGCTTTTAGGGCAAAAAATCATCGCATTCAACCAGCATCCCCAAAGGGAGAAAGGGAGAGCTTTATAAAATTGTGAAATTAGCATTGCTTGCCACCAAGTTGCCCTGAAAAGGACTCCTGCAGTGTTGATGTGATCAAATGAGGCAGACCCAAATACTGTCCCGACTGGCGGATGTCATCTCTCGGCCGGCCACTTGGCGATTGGTTGCTGATGTACCACTGATGTGAATAAAGGGGTCCTTTGCTATTTAAATATTAGCAGAAATTGAATGTAATGGGCCAAAAGGTGCAGACATCGTTTCTTTGCTGTAAACCAAAACACACTATGCTAGATGAACTTCTAAGGGCGAATGCAGAAGAAGAAGATTCATAAGCATTATTATTTTACCCACTGTAACTTGTTGACACTGATTTTCTTCTGTTATTTCTTGTTTTTCAGCACAACCTGTACGAGTTTGTCTCATCGTTCCAGGCTTCTCCCTCCACTCAACTCAAATAGCAAGGTATTATATCTCATATGATAAGCATTATGAAAAGTTAGGCATTTGCATATTTTTGCCCATGACACCTAAGGTGGAGGTCAGTAGTCACATTTAACAGTTTCATGGTCCTCAAGTTCTAGAGTTCAATTTCCACAGTCCCAGTGTGGGCTTCGGGGCCCTATTGTGGGGGAAAACAAGAATAGACCCACTGCCTCTACAACAAGCATGTTGTAAGAGTCAACTAATTGGGAGTTTTCTTCGAAGTCAAAGAGGCAAGAAACCAACAGTCTGCGAACAGATAAGTCAGATCAATGAAATGGATGTGCACACAGCACTGAGGTTTTGGAACAAGTCTAAAGTCCAGTGGTGGGTGAACAACCAGAACTTTCTGCCGGGGTTAACAGCCAGTGAACATGAAGAAGAAGAAGAAGAAGATTTTCAATGCAGATGGTTTATTTAAAAAAAAAAAAAGTTCTTGTTTCCTGTCAATTGTGCAAGAGCTGCACAGGGGAAGATATTGGGATCTCACCATATGATAATCTCAAAGATTTGAATAAGTGCACTGTAGCAAACCTCCCTAAAGTCTGGATGCATAGGAAATGTGTGGTGTGGTTTGTGGAAAGCTCAGGTACTGGGACCGTTTTTTTTAATATAAATGTCTGAAAGGTGAGACTTATCTTGTCATGTTGAGAGATCAGTTAATGCCTGCCTTTAAAGTGACGAACTTCCTGAATAACTCCTTCCTGTGTGGTTTCCAGGGCCCTATTGTGGGTACAACAAGAATGGACCCACTGCCTTCCCAAAAAGCATGCTGTAAGAGTTGACTAATTGGGGCTCTTCCTTTGAGTCGGAGTGCATCTGCTGGAGAGACAAGAAACCAACAATCTGCATACAAATAAGTCAGATCTGTAAAATGGATGTGCATGAAACAGTCAGGTTCTGGAATGAGACTAAAGTCCAGAGATGAAAAAACAACTAGAACTTTCTGCTGGACTTTATAGCCTTTGAACACAAAGAAAAAAAAAACTATGGCTGTAGCCGGATGGTACCCTTGCCCATTTTGCCATGGTGATAAAGGATTTCCTGAATGACACTTTCCCCAACTTGATTGCAAGATGTGGTCATGTGGAGTGGTCTCCTAGTTCACCTGACCTTAGCCCCATTTACTTTTTTTTTTTTTCTTTTCAGAATTTGTTAAAGGAGAAGGTTTGCTCAGTTAAAAAAAAAAATCACAAGTGTAACACACATAATTGAACACAAATAAGTAAATATGCTGATATTGATGGCAATGTGAAATTATTGCATAGAGTTTACATCAACCTTTGCATCTTAAATTATAAAAATCATATTGATGTTATTTAATATTCCAGTTCAGTAAAATGTTAATAAATCTCATATTTGGAGAATATTAATTTTTGCCTATATGCCCAGACTTAAAAAAACCTGTGGGTTGCGGGTTGACCCCAGCACCATACTCGTTGGAAATAAACCTGCCACATCTGGGGATTGAATACAGACCATTATCTCAGTAAACAAGTGCACTGACCTCTGTGCCACTGGGGCTTATATTTTATAAAATAAACATTAATTTTAACAATACTTACTTAGTATTCTCTTAGTTTGTAGGTTAAACATTAATTTTTAAAATAATTAAGATGTGAGTGAACTAAATTGTAATACAATTGTTGATTTTTTTCTGTACTTATTCTCTTAGTGTGTAGGTTAAGCATTAATGTTTAAGATACGTATGATTTGAGTAATTTTTAATGAATTTAACCTGTTGCCTTGTTGATCTAGAAAAACGATGCGAGTAACCCGTAATTAGGGAATTACCCAAAAAAAATCCTTTAAAAAAACTGTTTTACGCAGGTCTCCAAAACAATCACAGCACTTCCATGTTTTGACCAAAACAATATTAAATCCCACAGAAAATACGGGTAGTCATCAGTAAACACAAATCCAGCAGAGAATTAACTGGGGCACATAAATGTTTATGTCGACTCATATTTTTTTTAAACCCATATCCCAGTCCCAGGTTAACACTGACAGATGGAAACATCACAACAGGGTTAATGTTTAATTTTTTTTCGTACTTATCTCTTAGTAAATCGGTTAAACACTGATTTTTTTTAAATAATTCGATTTGAGTGAACTAAATTTATGAATTTAATATAGATTTTTTTCTGTACTAACTATATTCTTAGTTTATCGGGTAACATTATTTTTTTAAATAATTTATATTTGAGCGCAGTAAATTGTTGAGTTTTTCCATACCTAATATTCTCTTAGCTTATGGGTTGAACTTTAATGTTTAAAATAAATGATGATTTGAGTGCAGTAAACTGTAATAAAAATAATAATGATTTTTCCTCAACTCAGTACGTGCAGGTGATGCACCAGGACATTCCGCTGACAAATGATACACACATTATTATTATCATTCCTCCAGGGGAGAAGATGGTAAGTGTCTCACAACCCACATGCTTATTTGTAAATGTTTATACGTATGTGTGTATGTGAGCCTTTGTGTACATAAGTTGGTGTATCTGTACGCCAGTGTGTATGTATGTTTGCTTGTTGTATGCAAATGAAAGTGGAAGTATGTAAAAGTAAAAAATGTAAAGGACTCTTTTAGGCATATTGGGTATATAGGGCATTACACTGGGATGCCACGGAAAGATTCGGTGTATACAGTCTAAAGGAGACAGACTTGTGGTCATGTCTCAGTGGATCCTTGAGGGCGCTCTACCCCGGGACTCAACTAGGAACCTCAGCGGAAAGCTGGTACATTGTCTATTGTGCTCGGCAGGAAGCCGGTAAACTTTAAGGAGGGATTCTCCAGGCCGAATCATTAAAGAGGGACATTGCCCTGTTCAGACTGCAGAAGAGGAAATCGATGTGACCGTCCGGACTTCCAAGGTCGTACTATTGACCTGTCAATTGAAGATGTCATTTGAATTTATCCATCAGGATGTACGAGCGGTTGATTGTGTGGGCGTGTTTGGATGAGTCTTCACCAAGAGTCCTATTATTTGCACATTTTCTCATTAATCAACATACTGTTTTACCACACTTGGCTGGTGGCAATTTATTCTAAATCAAGATGTATTAATTTGAACCTGATCACACATTTCAATGGGGACCTACGCCTCTCAGCAAGCCGTCGCACATCACAGTGTTTACTTTCCTTTTTAAGTAAACAAGGCAGGCAGAGAGAGGGATCATGCTGCATGGGTAGCACATGCTCTCTTCAGTGATGTTCCGGCTTTGTGCTATGGGGAGGATGAACTTTGTCACTGGCATTAATTGGCTGTGATTCCCATGCCTTTCTACAAAACAATTTAAAAGCATCAACTGGAATGACAGAAAGGGGCCAGTATACATGCAGATTAATTAATGAATCAAGCAGTTGTTGTTGTTGTTATCGATCCAGCGGCGCATGAGCTTTCGCTCTTTGGCCCAATGCCATGTAGTGGAATTTGCATGTTTTCACAAGCTGTTCTTTTCCTCCGTACAAGGTGTTCCACTTGTCTGGTCTCGGAGGGAGTAGCGTTCTTCTTGTCTCACTGAGTTTTGGGCACTCAAAGAGATGGTGTTCAACAGTTTCGTAGGGGTAGTTACATAGCTGGCACTCTGGGGAGTGTTGTGGCTGTATTCTGTTTAGGTGTCCATTGAGTGGAGTATGTTGCGTTCTAAGTCTGAAGATGGTGGCCTGGTCCCTTCTTGTTAGATGGTTAATGCTGTCATTAGGATCAGGGCCAGACATATGTCTATAAACCTCTCTTCCAGTGTCTCCCATGGCCCATCTGTTCAACCAAGTCTCTTTGTTTATAGCTCTTATCAGTTATCAGAGAGAGGGATCATGCTGCATGGGTAGCACATGCTCTCTTCAGTGATGTTCCGGCTTTGTGCTATGGGGAGGATGAACTTTGTCACTGGCATTAATTGGCTGTGATTCCCATGCCTTTCTACAAAACAATTTAAAAGCATCAACTGGAATGACAGAAAGGGGCCAGTATACATGCAGATTAATAAAAGAATCAAGCAGTAAATGAATTACTCGAATGATGAATCGATCAGTTAGCCAGTAAACCAACCTATGAATTAATCAACTGACTCGTGAATCAGTCATCCAACTTGTGAGTCAGTCAACCAAACACATAAATCAGTCAACCAACATATGAATCAGTTCATCAGCCAACCCATGAATGAAATAATCCACCCAGTCAGCCAATCAACCAAGGAAAAAATCTTCCATGAGCTCATCACTTGTCTGAATGAATATCATTATTTAATTTTAAATAACGACATACATGTCAATTATCACTTTCAGGTCAGCATCTCCGTGGACCACTACAACAGCAATTTACGTCACTTGATCTACCATATGCCTAACACATATGACACTATCATCTCGTACCCAATCTCTGTCACAGATGGTGCGGCCATGCTGAAGATATCAAATGGTTCCACATTTTATAGCCTCCACCTTGCAGGGCTGTCTTTGCCAACAAATGCTTACACTGCTGTTGTTATGCCTCAGGGTTGCAGGAAACATAATGCAGGTATGGAATGCACATTTAGCCCGCTTGCCTCATTGGGGACTCAACCCCATGAATGTCTATTACCTGGCTGCAGTGACCTATCCCTGAGAAGCCTAGCTAACACCATTAGTTGTGTTTTCACCTGCGCACCTTTTGGGTCAGGATATGAATAGTTTATTAAAATAGCATTTAGGGACAGTTTCTTGTGAACAAAAAGTCATTTCAAAAACCATTTTGAGGTCACTGTAAGAGTCACTGGACACTTTTTTTAACATGTATTTAATTAAATGCTTTCACTCTGATCATGTTTATCTTCTTCTTCTTCACGTTCAGTGGCCTTAAACTCCAGGGGAAGGTACTGACTGTTCAACCAGCTCTGGACTTTAGACTTGCTCCAAAACCTGATTGTTGCATGCACATCTGTTTTACAGATCTGACTTATTTGTGTGCAGACTGTTGGTTCATTTCCTTTCAGGCAGATGCACTCGGACTTCGAAGTAAACTTCAAAAAAGTCTACTCTTAAGACATGCTTGTCTTGATATTATCCTTACGTCCTTTTTGGGACAAAATTTTTTCTTATTTGAAGTCCCACCCTGGCTTTTGCCAGGGGCCACAATATAGGCAGGCTATAAATATGGCCAATTGTCTGAACGTGGTTTCTGGGACCTCTCCACGGCGATCCTCATCCACTTGGTGTCATCGGGTGTTTATCACTTGTGTGATGTCCTAGTGGGGTAGAAAGTCAGTCAGTCAGACATGCCTGTTGGGGAGACAGTGGGACTGTTCTTGTTTTCACCACATTGGGGCCCCGGAACCCACACATGGATGGTATGTAATGATGGACACTCATAAATACAGAGAAAGAAGTAGAATAAGGAGAACACACTGGCCAGACACAAATAAAAAGCTGCTGTTACCATAGTGGGACTTGAGTTATATCTTTAGTGATTTATTGTCGCTGACTACAGCAGATTGAATATGAACATTGATAAAATATCAGTCTTCTAAATGTTAAGTCTACAAAGGCTCAGGTGGCTGGGCCACACCTGGATGGGAATAGAGGATGGCAGAGTCCCTAAGGACATCCTCTGTGGGAATTAAAGACGGGTAGAAGATGTTGGAGGCCGGCCTCTACTACAATATAAAGATGTGTGCAAGCAAGACATGAATGAAACAGGTATTAAGGTGGACTCATGGGAACAAAATGCCATGGACCATGTTGTGTGGAGGGGGCACATTTGGAAGACAATGAAGGAAGAAACTATTGCAGAAAGGATGAGAGCTGAGTGTCTGAGAAGAAACAGACTAAACACAAATGTTGACAAGAACGGTCCTGAAATCCTGTGCTTAAATTGTGGTAGACTTTTCTGAACACAGGCAGGTCTTTCTAATCACACTCACTATCACCATGGGTATGAGTCCAATGCCTCCTCATAGAGCAATATAACACTATCATCTGAAAAGATAGAAAGGTGCCAGTAATTATCATCATCCTATTTGCCTCTGAACTTTAGGTTGTGGATGGGATATTTAGTCTTCTTGGATGTGGGCAAAAACTTAGCAGGTCTCGTGTGTATGGTATGCACATTAAAATGCTTTGGTAGTTGGGTAAAGAATAAAATGAACAAGCTGCTGTCTGTGTTAAATATTACAATAGAAAATTTACTACTAATAAACAAAATAATTTTTACAAAATGACTGGCTAAATGGTTAGGATTGTAATCATAAACAGTAAATTGTCTCGTATTTGATTACCCTGCATAATCATAATGACTGGTTTGAAGTTTGAACAATGGATCAACATCATGGCACACGCGAAGTAACCCATAAGCGCTCCGTTCTTTCTTCAAACTCAAGTCTGAGTCCAAAGAAGCTCAGCACAGTGCTCTGTAGTCCCAGCAAGGATCCTGAAATACTTTGGGTAGATTTTCAACTCAAATTTTGCCCGGGCAGCACTGTTAGGCTAATTTTTTTTTATTTCCAACTGACATTTTTTACGTTGCACACTGGCATCCGATCTCACTACCCAGAGACCAGGGGAAATACTGGAAGTCCCCAAGTTCAAGTGAAAAAATCCTAGCCCTTACCGGAATTGAACCCTTGAACCACTCAAGCGGACACCATGCCTCAAGACAACGCAGCCCCTCATAATGACTGGCAACATCAACAGTAATAGAAACAGAGGCAGATCTAGAGAAATGATGCTGGATAATCTGAATAATGAGATTTGTATGCAGACAAAAATGTATGCCATCTGGCTAGGCACACAGTGATGATGATCATGATAGTGACCATGAATAATGTTATTCTATGTAGATATTTTATTTAGCTACACTTATTGGGTCATAATTTTTTTATTGTCTTCCAGAAATGTATGAGGGCAATGTACTGCGCCTGCACATCCCATGGAGTCATGCAGACACCTATACATATTCTGAGTAATTAAATTTTTTCACAATTATTATCTCATATTGTTATTTTTTTTTCAACAAAAAATTGTATTGTCATTTATATATTATAAATATAAACATTTACATTTTTCATTACATTTGTCAGCGCCATTCAACTAATTCTGTTGTGCCTGAGAGGTGAACACATGTCATCTTGATGACAGCTATGAAGCATTTTGAAAGATACTTCAGTACAGATAGGATTATCTAAACTATACCTCTTAGATTTTTGTACACAGCTGTATGGTATCTTTTGAACTTTTGATTAGATAAACATTCATACATTTCAACCACCATGTGTAATAAACTGTCAGGATTTTTTTTTTTCAATTGATGATGACCAGACCCTATGAATTTAGTACCAAACAGTCATTTTACACATAAATGAAAGTGGCCTCTTATGACATGCCTGGCAGGGTGAATTAATTGAAACATTTTCAGCAAATTAGACCTAAAATACAAGAAAGGTGGTTGGATACTCGCACCAGATTTTCTCTCCAAGACTCACTTCATTGTCTCTCTATAGAAGGTCACTGTGTCATATTCAGACTAAGGACAGGACATAACAGACTTCACCTTCTGGTCAAAATGGAGGATAGGCACATTCAAGAAGAAGAAAAATGAAAAACAAAATAAAAAAATGACCTTTCTCAAAATGAGATATATTTTTTCCTGACCATCAGGAAAATTTTTCCATATATTGACAGTGTTCAAATACTACAAGTTTATTACAAATATTCATTGTTGATATGATCTTTAATGAAAGTGAGAACATTCTTTTACTATTTTTAATTAGCCTGCTTGGTTGCTGATATTTTCCATGCCCTTGTGGTGCTGTAAAGATCCCTCTGTGAGTTCCGGGACCCCATGTTTAGGGACAAATTGAACAGTCCCCCTGCACCCCTAACAGGCATGTTATAAAAGGCGACTAATAATGGATTTGGTGAAATCAGAGGTGTTGGGCGAAAGGTGCAGATACCACAGCCTTGCTGTAAACCACAACACAGTGTCGCCAGCTGCCCTTTTAAAGGCAAACAGAAGAAGAAGGTCTCCTAACCCTTGCAGGACCTGGTATTTATTAGAGACTGTAACCATACATTGTGCCTTAGATTCTTGATTTCTGAGATATCCACATTGTATATATTTCAAGTTTACAAGAAACAATATTTATGGTAAATGTTGATTGAAATTATCAAATCAATTTAGTAAGCATATGAACAGGCTTTGTCTGAGTAGTTCACCACTGTGCCCATGTGGGCTGTGCGCATGAACTTAAGAACATGTCCTGAAAGACTGTCGTATGTACAGCCCATAAGATATGGAATACTACTTGCCCAATAAGTCAACACTATGCTCAAAGTTGTATGGAACTAAAGAGGGGCTGCCAAAAATTGCCAATTTCATCATATCAGAAAACCACTGAAACTAACACACCATATTATGGACAAACCAGAGCAAGTCATTATCCTATGCCTTAGCTAAGGGCACAGTCGACTTTGCAGCCATTTGCACACAAAATTTAAGATTGGCGAATCAGCCATGTGTACATGTGGACTGGAACCTGAGACAACGGATCACATCCTCCAAGTCCAACTCTGTCCCAGATATAACGTTTCCAGGTGAAACTTCTGGCCAAGAGAGACACTGGTGAAATCCAAACTTTAGTGGTCGTTAAGTGAAAAGATAATGAAGTTTATACTAGAGACAGCATTGCAGATATAGATAATTTATTTCAAGCAAACGAAAAAAGAAGAAAATTTTGCAAAAATACAAAATATTATGAGTTTGTGTTAAATATTTGTGAAGCTATGGCATGTTAGAGATATGTGGTATCTGGAAAAATGCAAGGGTTAATGGGCTTGGTAGTCGGTGGATTAAAGATATATATTCTTCTTCTTCTTTCATTCACCTGAAATGAGTTGTCTATATCAGCAATTTTGTCTCTTGTATAAATTTCACTGTCATTGTTAGTTCATTCAGTGGTCCATAGAGTTTACGTTCCACTGTTGTTCTTTCTGGCCAAAAGGTTTGCCTTAATGTGTCAAATTTGATGCAGTCCTGGAGTACATGCTCTGCTGTCTGGGGCACCTTTCCACAGGTGCACATGGCTGATACGCCTATCTTGAATTTTGTGTACATATGGTTACGTAATCTGGTGTGCCCTGTTCTGAGGTGGAGGATAATGACTTGTTCTAGTTTGTCCATAATAAAATAGTCGTCTTGTGCTGGGGCTGGTATATATTGATTTTCTTTCTTCGTTTATTATGTGGTCTTTTTCTGTACCACCAGCTTTGGCAAGGAAGCTAGCATTCCAGTCAAACTACAGGCAGGGAGGCCAGCAGAGTATGACTGGAGACTAGATGCATCTGAGCCACATCTGGAGATGTTCCTGCATCCTTACTGCCACTACCAGCTCAGGCTTTTCGTGGCAACACAGGATAGCCTGGGACAGGTAAGATTTCAGTCAGATGCGAAAGTAATTGACAGCTAGAGAGAAACAACACATTAAAAATGAGAATTGTCAAATATTATGTTTACTGGCCCTTGCTGTATGTTGCAGAAACTTGGACAGTGAATAAACTAGAAAATAGAAATGATTTTGAAAATGTGGATATACAGGAGAATATATCATATTTCTTGGATCTGCAGAGACTTTAAATGAGAGAGTTACTGAAAGAAATAAAAGGAAGACCGTTGAAATCTTCTGGCCACATTAAAAAAGACATAGCATTCTTTTAAAAACCATACTGGAGGAAAAAGTTAAAGACAAGAGAGCAAGTGGTAGAAAGTGATACAGGTGGGAGGACAGACAACATTAGGAGATAGACGAAGAGTAGTTTGAGAGAGTGTACTACCAAGAAAAGAGACAGAAAGAGACAGCATTTTTTTATATCCATTGCAGCCAGTCTTCATTGTGAAAATGGCAGCTGATTGGTTGATTGATGACACATAATCCCTTGAGTTGTGAGATTTGATGGCTGATCTGTTGTTGTTGTTGTTTTTTTTTTTAATTTTGTTTAAATAACAGTGAATAAAAGAATGGTTGTACAAAATGCGCATGTTAAAATTTCCATATCAGTTGAAAAGCTGCCTTTCCATTTCTTCTACCTCAGTGTAGCACAGGCACTCAACCAACTTGCACCTTATAGCTATTGGTTTAGACAATGAAATGAACCTCATCTGCAGAAGCAATGGCACTTTTGAACATACAATTGCTTAGTGATTACTGATTTAAGAATCAACACCGTAACACGTGATTCCCAAACTGTATGCCCTGGAGATCAGTGACCTTTTCATAGGGGCGCTGCAAAATATTTGAAGACACACAAGTTTTAATTTTGTTTTAATCTCTTACGTACTTTTACTTAGGTTAGGGCGCCGTGGAAAAATGTTAATTGAAAAAAGGCCGCCATGACTAAGCACGTAGCACATAAATAAAATAAACTTCTGGGCAACCACTAGTATCAAAATTTATAAGACAGAAGATGGTACTGTACTGGAAACTTTCGGAGATGAGACAAACAGAGAATCACCAAATAGGCACTGGAAAGGGAAATAGAGGTACTTGGGAAATGAGGATGTTCTAGAGAAACCCTAAGTCTAACACTGATGAGAAAAGATGGGAGAAGTCATAGGTGCAGGCCAGGATTCCACCCATGCTATTGCTGCACAGGATAAAATGGAATGGAGAAATAGATTGCAAGCTTTGTTTGACATATAATGGCACAATATACAATCATGAATGAATTATAGCACACTGGGTATACCTATAGATGCTTTGTCTCTTGCAGCTCATGTCTTAAAGTGTAGATGCTAAATGTTCTCATAGCACACTGATTATAAACACATTATTTTCTACATCTCATTTTTCCTCTTTTGCTGGATCCAATCCTCACTCCACATTCACAAATTCATGTTATTTTATGTAACCTTGTGTTTTCTTTTAGCATTCATTCATAAGTGCTCTTCGTTTTATTTTTCTGCCTTTCAACATTAGCCATGCTAAACATTCACTTCCATCTAGGTCGTAGACAAGGTGGTATGTCTTAAGGTCACTTGCAGTACCTCACAGCTTCTCTTGTAATGTGGCTAAATGAAGCCAGATCCACCACCTTTGGCAGGAGTTGTTAGGGCAGCCCGACAGACAGTACATGCTCAGGAGTCTATCTGTCTGCTTTATGACCACAGGTGGCAGTTTCTTGTATGCCTGTCTTGTGTAGATATGCTCTAAGACTGCCGTATCCTGTCTGAAGTCTAAAAGTGATGTTTGTTCTTTCCTGTTGTGTATGTTTACGTGGTCACTCAACAGTCTCTATTCTCCATTCTGCCTTCTCCACTCCCCCTTGAATGATTGATTTGAGGCTGTTGTGGTTTCTTTGTAACTCTGTAGTGGATGAGGTTGTGGAAGAATCACAAGATACCCTCCAGAGTTTACAATTGGTGAATACAAAGAATATAAAGGTACATACTACCAAGATAGATAGCTGTGGGGAAAATGACTTAGTAAACAGTTCAGACTAAGAGAACCATGGCTTTACTGTCTTTCTGTACTAAGCATCTTCTGATTTGGACATATGTTTGTCTGAGGAGTTTGCATATATTATCTTTAAAGTTACTTTGATCTCTAGTGTGTGACCAGGTAGCTTCTCCATTATCTGTTTGATCTCATCAAATATGAAAATCCCTTAATCTGCTGTCTTTATGCCTGCTACTGTTTTGCTCAGGTAAAGTTATTGTTGTCTTGAATGATAGCATTCGGTGTTTGCTTGTTTAAACTAACTGACTTGTGGAAAATGCTTCTAGTTATAGTGGATTGTATTGGGCGGCTTGCTCCGACAGCAAATGTGAGTTCTTTTAAACTACAAATATACAGTGCAATTTAAAAGTAATAATACTTGTTACATTTCCTTCAGTTATTGTTAAGGTTAAATGTTTGGCAGATACTACTGTAGGAGTGTGAAATAAGTATGTATGTCTCACTTTTCACCATCTCTTTATGTTTTTAAAAAAAACTGGAATATTCATAATATGAGGTTAGGTATGCGGTATCGACAGGAATATGGAAAAATCTTGGTACATCAAACATACATACTATCAAGATAAAAAGATGAAGTTAATGATCTTTTTTTTTTTTTTGTGTATATGTGTGTGTGCATATGATGCCAGACTCATATTTGTATACATCAGCCATATCTGAGCCATACTAGTTAGAAACAAAAAGTGGGAGGGAGGGAGAGGGGGGGGGGGGGGAAGGAAACTGTATACTTCCAGTGAAAACTGATTTCTTGACCATTATTGAGAATATGCAGTTAGAAGATACTGTTGAGGGAAACAAAAAGATGGTTTCTAGTAATGCTTCCAAGGCTGTAAGAAGACTGCAGAAGTGTGTAGTTACCACAGATAAAAATGTTGATGAAATATCGTGTGTTTCCCCAAAAAATATATTTAAAAAAAGTATATAACCCTTTTCATGCCAGTGGGGTATCGCAGTGGGTCATTGGGCATATGATGCTAGACTCATAGTTTATAGACCAGAATAGTCAACATCATGCCGGTTACCTTTATTTACCATGACTTTATCCTGTACCCATCTTTAGTCTGGGTTGATCAAGAAGTAATGGTAAATTGAGAAGAAAAAATTAGACTTTATATGCAGAATCAAACCTGAGACCTTTAGGTTGGTAGGTGAGCATCTGGCTTGCTACACCACCTTGGCTCCCTGAAATAAAATGTGCTTTATTATAATGTTTCTAATTTTTATACAGTAAACAACATCTGAGATCTTCTTGAAGCCACCTCATGATTGTATATTCCTTTGCATTTGTCTTCATCTTTATCACATCCTTATGCCGGCCACTTCTGGAATCAAGGAAGACAAAAACGTCTGCTTCTTGCTCTTCTGACAACATCGACCATAGACACATCATGTTTGTAGAGTTTCTCTGATGCTATCTATCTATTCTTGTTTTGTGTCTACCTCATGCTCTCGTCCCTTTCCACATTTGTTGTATGGAATGCGCCTCAAGGCATTCTCTGTAAGTCGGCAAACCCTTTTATTTGGTGTCTTTGCATTTTATTTTCTTTATGTTTCTGATGTTATGAGTATTTTTAATGTTGTTTTGAACATTGACAATTCAGGCTGTTCGCTTCTATGGCATCCAGTTTCCAGGCTACTATGTTGCCGTCTTGTTAATGACACTCAGCGGAGTCATCATTGCCCAGAGCAAAGGACAAGGTTAATTGACTTTGTATATATATATTTTTTTTTAGTTTAAGAGTGTTAACTCTTTCAATACCAAACAACTCACCATACATTTCTTGTCATTTCAAAGATAATTTAATGTTCTTGTCGACTTCTGTCACAGACATGCGGAACATTACCCTTTTTGTATCTGAATGATTAGTTAAACTACTTCTGCTCCAAAGTGCTTCTGTTTACCTACTATAGAGTATTTATGGTGTTTAAACAAAACTCTTGGGATAGGTAGTTGAAGTAATAACTGCTTTATATTACCTTTACTGCATGCATTTATCCATTTTGGGGTGGTGTAGGACAGGGAGGACGTAAACCCGAGGATTTTAACCTTTCATACTGAAATGTCTCAATTAGCCACTTTTTGCTGTGACAGACCCCCCCCCCCCCCCATAAATGCTGATACCGAGCCGTTTCTGTAATGACTTGTTATCAAAATGTGTAGTTAAATGCCATAGTTTTATGTGTGCCTGTGTAGTGTTTAGTAGACTTTGATGTGAATATAATAATTATAGCATTTAGAATTGTTTCTTATGACCCTAGTGGCTTTTGACAAGGTTGACTTAGCATTTTCTTCTAAACGTCAGGGATAAAGGTCACGGCGTGATTTACCCAATTCATATTTGTGTTTGGTTCCAGGATATCACTGTTCTTTTTTATTGATTACTCCATTTATATGTCATTATATGTATCAAAAAAATTTTAAAGACATAAATACAATTTTAAAACAAATTATTAGTTACTCTATGTAAAGTAGTTCTGTTTTTTTTTAAGGATGTTTTTTGGAAATTTCAATGGATTCAAGGCCCATTTTTCCCCTCATTCTCAGGGAGTGTGATATAATTAAGGCCACTTGGCAAGTGCAGTCACCACAAACTGTGCAGGTTATAATTTTTATTTTTTTCGAAACAAAAAAAAAAACATTGCTCTTACCAAGGATTGAACCAGAGTTGCTTGAATGAGAAGCCAGTATTCTAATAACTTGGCTAGCTGCTTCTCTCTGCCTGGTACTGAAAGAGTTTAAGCGCCTTATAAAACCTGTACTGTTGTAAGGCATGAGAAATGTAGATAATAAACAGATAACTGAGACATCTGAGAGCAGCAGAAATGTGGTTTCTCCTGAGAATAAATAAGACAGTCTTTCACGGAACAGATGAAAAATATAAATGAGACAGTGTCTTTCAAGGTACAGGTGAAAAGATATAAATGAGACAGTCTTTTTGAAGTACAGTTAAAAAGATATAAACGAGACAGTCTTTCAGAGAACAAGTAAAAAGATAACAATGAGACAGACTTTCAAGGAACAGGTGAAAAGATATAAATGAGACAGTCTTTCAAGGAGCAGGTAAAAAGATAAACTGGTTAGAGAAATTAGATATAGACAGAGAAGATATTTTTCTTATCCACACCCACATAGGACTGCAAGTGAACCTGGCTGTTGTAACCGTTACAGGTGCCCTAATAATAACTTCTTTAGAGATTGAACAGGGTATCTGGGATCTGCCATGTTGGTCTGATCAGCTATATCTTGTGGTGATTTATTTTGCAGTTGTAACTACAAGGACAGGCAGCCTGGCCAACCTGCTGCTGGACCATGGCAAGCCATATTATTTAAGTTTCCATTGTCATGGTGCTGAGATTCATCATCAGGTCTGTAGATATCCTTTTTGTGTTTGTGTGCGTCTCTGTGTCTGTCTGTGTATCTGTATGTATGTCTGTCTGTCTGTCTATCTGTGTTTCTGTCTGTCTGTCTGTGTTTCTGTCTGTCTGTGTGTCTGTCTATCTGTGTTTCTGTCTGTCTGTGTGTCTGTCTATCTGTGTGTCTGTCTGTCTGTCTGTCTGTCTATGTATCTGTGTGTCTGTCTATCTGTGTGTGTGTGTGTCTGTCTATGTATCTGTCTGTCTGTGTGTCTGTCTATCTATCTGTCTGTCTGTCTGTCTGTGTGTCTGTCTGTCTGTGTGTCTGTCTATCTGTGTGTGTGTCTGTGTCTGTCTATGTGTCTGTCTGTGTGTCTGTCTATCTGTGTGTGTGCGTGTCTGTGTTTGACTATGTATCTGTCTGTCTGTGTGTCTGTCTATCTGTGTCTGTATGTCTGTGTATCTGTCTGTGTGTCTGTCTGCCTGTCTGTGTTTCTGTCTGTCTGTGTGTGTGTCTGTCTTTCTATCTGTCTGTCTCTCTCTCTCTCTCTCACACTCACTCCTCCACTCCACTCACTCACTCACTCACTCACTCACTCACATAATCATCAATGCAGTCTAGGTAACCCTGTATTCTTGTCTTGTCTATCTGTCTCCCCCCCCCCCCCCCCCCACCTAAGATGCTGATAATCTGGCAGTTCCATCTGTTAAAATCCTTGTGAAGGTGTTAACTTTTAGAGTCTCAAGGAACGTATCATACATTCATAGGTTCCTACCTTGAATCCCAGTGAACGCATGATGTACTGATTTTATGTCTCTTTTTACTACCCCTTAGGCCTGTTCTTAAACCCACTGGAACTTAAAGAGTTAAAATTGGCATTGCTGCTTTTGCCAGTTAGCAAGCCTAGCTAATGGCGTTAGTTCTGTTTGCACCTGTGCAGGGTTTAGAAGGGCAGGATTTTATTATTAACTATACATAGCATTTATGGGGTTTATATTTTGGAAGAAATAGTTTTTTTTTTTTTTTTTCAAGTCATTAATTGTATCAGAATTTGCCTTTAGCTTTGGGAGTCATCGTATTGGTCACCATATACATGTTTGATGGGCCCAAGGGAATGTAAAAATTGAATTCTCCCTTTCATTCATTATTGATTATTCCCCTTTAAAAAATTATGTGTTTAACATTTTTAAACATTTATTCATAACCCTGTAAAATGATTGGTTTTTGTTTGTTTAAATAAAGGATTCCAACCCACCCATCCCCCCCCTCCCCCAGGACTTCCCAGGTTCTAGGCCCTCATTTACTAAAAGATTTTTGGGGCACAAAGAGTTTGAACATACTTTTTGTATTCTACTGACAGAATATTAGGACCATTGCCAAAACGCATGTAAATGTGATATCTGATTTATGTCTGGTTGTGTATTTCTGCTTATGTGTCTGACTGTTTCTTCCTCCCTACTCTTTCCTTTCCCCTCTCCCTGTCTTTCTACTTACTGCCCATCTCTCTGTGTCTCTTGCTGCTTCTGTTTGTCCACCTCTGACATATGTATGTATGTGAGTGTATGAATGTGTGTGTTTACATGTATATGAGTGGGTGTGTATATGCATGTATATGAGTATGTGTGTATGTATGTATACGAGTGTATGTGTGTATGTATATGCATGTATATGAGTATGTGTGTATGTATGTATACGAGTGTATGTGTGTGTGTGTGTGCATGTATATTAGTGTGTATGTATCAGTGTATGTATGAGCATGTAAGAAAATCTGTACATGGGTATTGTTTGAGTGTGTATGATTGTGTATATATGATGTTTATATGCATTCTCATCATGTTTCAGTATATTTTTATGTAGACATAATTGATAACATGCAATGGTGGTATGACAGATGATTTGCTTGGAAGGGCCGAATGTAAGATGGCCCTGCATGCTGAATTTGTATCCCTTTGAAAATAAACTTTGTTCGTTTGTTCTCCCTTATCTGTCTGTCTGCTTATCTGTTTCTTTCTCTCTCATTAAAATTAAACAAAATACAACAAGTATTCCTATTATAATTAAGAGTACAAGCAGTTTTATAAGTTCATCTAAACCTCAGACTATAAACTTGAACATTTAATGGAGGGCTGTCTGTTTTACAGTTTCCTAACTGACTGCTCCATAGGTTTGGTCCCGTCACAAACTTGCTCACCAAGCTTGGCATCCCTAGAGATGATGCTACAGCCCTCACAGAAGAGGGAATAAACTTTACCATTCTGCCGCTGCTCATGTACTTGTGTGCCTGGTTTGTGGCCTATCTGCAAGCACTGCTAGCTTTTGGTCTCCTCAGTATGCTCAGCTATTTTGGACGCTTGTTTGTTTGGTGAGGATCATAAGTTTTGGTAATACATATTATATATTATATTATATATATATATGACGATACAGTCGTTACATATGAGCAATAAAGATGTGCACATATTACTAAGTTGGAGAATCGCCATTGTGTGGCAGCTAGATGCTCGCCTGCAATCAAAAGGTCGTGGGTTCTGGTCCTGGCAGAGCCAGACTTTTTTCAAAAATGGCTTTGACTCCCAGGTCAACCTAACCCTGAATGGGTATGGTGCATTCCATTTTTTGGTGGAAAGGGGCCACTTGAAAACCTGAGCGCCCCCTCCCCAACCCAATTGTCTGCCTAGAACATTTGTTATAGGGTGAGGAGGACATATTCTGGGTGGTGCCAATGTTTCTTACCTAATTTGGGGGTGGGGGGTTTGAAAGGGTTCTGAGCCTCTCAGGGGTGTAAGTGTAGTTGGGGGTGGGGCTGATTCTTTCCATCTCGCTAAACTTTCCTAAATTTGTGGGGGGGGGGGGGCTTTTAAATTTTTAACTACATAGTTTGACGCTGCCTCCTCCTCTCCCCCCTCCCCCACATCAACTCTGTGGCAACACGCCTATTACTAATATATGTTTCAACTCTTGCTACAGTCACTAGTATATGTTTTATGTAATTACTGCCTTCTTTTTATTCATGCATATCTAATTAGGTTATGAAATATATTACGTCATTTGTACATTTTTGTTAATTATATTTCTATATTTGGTTTACATTTGGTCTTTGTGCAAAAAAAAACCCCCAAAAAACTGATAAATTAACATTAGATAATAAAAATCTTATTATTGAATACATACACGCTCCCCATGTAAGTTCCAGAACACAATTGTGGGGGAAGCAAGAATAGACCCACTCTCCCCAACAAGCATGTCATAGAAATTAGAATAATTGGGGGTATCCTTCGAAGCTGGAGTACATTAGCCTGAGAGGCAAGGACCCAAGAGTCTGCATACAGCTAAGCCAGATCTGTAAAACTAATGTGCACTCAGGTTGTGGAACAATGTCAAAAGTCTTGAGGTGGATGAGCAACCAGAACTTGCTGCCAGAGTTTACAGTCGGTGAACGTGAGGAAGGAAAAGAATATATGCACCATTTATTTTTGAATTTAGTGCTTGGGGACTTTATGTGAGTGCTTTTAAAAAATCTAATTACTTTATTATTTCACAGCAGTTATTTTTTCACAGTGAATTTTTAATGAATCTTCATGGTTCTTTCTACAGGTTGCACATGTTAAAATAGAACTTATTAAACATAGTCTCCAAATGGTTTCTATGGCCTATTTAGGGGGGAAAGCATGTCATAAAAGGCAATTAATTAGACGTTTGGTGGAATCAGGTGTGATGGGCTGGAAGGAGCAGATATCACAGCCTATCTGTAAACCAAAACACACATACCAACTGCCCTTTTAACCCTGATACCACAAGAAGCCTCAACACTGACACTTCTTGTTTGTATCTTGCCTCCATAAAAGTAACTTTACCAACTTTCTATAGTCGCATTTTTTTGCAAGACGCATAACTACAGCACAGGCACAGCTATAGTAAAGGCAGTTAGGAGGATCTTCTATAAATAGCATTTAAGGGGGTTTCCTTGTGAACAAATGGTGTAAAAGATAAATTATGACATCATATTTCCCCATTGCTACCAGTGCTGAGTAGTGCTGGCCAGTGACTAGGTTAGGGAGTTAAGTATGAGTTGTGGTATACATTTTGTTTATGGTCAAAGAGAGGTAAGTAAGTTATCAGTCACAATTATGTTTGCTGATTACTCCTCTTATTTTGTATGGAACTGAATATTGAATTGGCCCATAAATGCAGTTGTTACGATTTGTATGTGACCTGTGTTGAATGTTTTTTTTTAAAAGACTTTTTTAAGGAATTCCCAAAAGTATGAGATATTTGGTCTTTTTTCTAGGTTATTTGACCTAAAAGAGTTAAGGGCAAATGCAAAAGAAGAAACTAATGAAAGCATTAAATATTGTCCATCTGACTTCATTTTCAGGATACCTGACAGTGTGTTTGGAAAACTGACCTTTGTCCAGTGTGCAGTTGGTGGACTGGCTGTATTGCTCGACTTTCATGTGTGGCACAGTTGGTATTATGTGCATATCTTCATTGCTGATATGTAAGGTAAATATTATGTTCTGATAATATGTTCTCATTGTGTCATTCACTTCAGTCTTTAAGAAATGGTTTGACGAAGATGCCCTTGTCACAACTGCTGTGGAGAGTCGACACTGAAGAAACATAATGAGCACAGAGCTAAGGGATGACCAAGCAAAGCCTGGAATGATGGCATCAAGAATAGCCTTAAAGAAATTAAGATCATCTTGTAAGAAAGAGCACAGATATCCTTACACATACATCCACACACACAACACACACTTTCTTACTATCTCTGTCTCTTTCTCTCTCTCTTTCTCTTCAGTGGGACAAATGAAGGACAGAAAAAGAAGAAATTCAGTTCAGTCTTTGTATTGTAAATTGTAAAAGAACAGTCTAAAGATTGCAATGATCCTGGTACATGGAAAGTCACAAGGGACTGGTTAAATCGTAGAGAAGGCAGACTATTCAAATTTAATTGTTAAACTTGGTAAAACTGAGACGGAGGTTAGACACAAAAAGCAATCCATTAAAAGTGACAATTAAAAAAAAAGGTAAAAATAAACCACATTTAATGTTTATTTACAGTTGTAAATGAAGTTTAATGTTACAAATTTACTCTTTTAAGTTTTAGAGTTATTCGTGAATTTTGGAGTCATTTATTAATAAAATGTTCTCCTCATTTAATATTTCCAGACATTACATCTACTGTACGTGATTGGACGTAAACTAGATTCTAAGGACACTCATCGCAGATTGACGTTAATTTTCCCTATCGTGCTGTTGGTCAACTCACAGATCCTGCTTAGTTTTGGCCCATTTGTAATATGGGTGAAAAATGGTGCTTAGTAAGTATTTGTTTTGTGATAAAGGGTCCCTTTAATAACAGTGTATATGCAGTGATCGCCAAGGAACTTTCCCGATGAAATCATTAGATCAAATTCTGAGGCTACCCCTTGTGGGGTTTGGGGGCTCTATTTATTTGTGTGGGGGGAGGGGGGGGGGGGGGGGGTTGACACCCACTGCCCCTTAACAAGCATGGCATAGAAGAAAAGACACAGATATCACAGCCTTGCTGACCACAACACAACATGCTAACCACCTTTTTGAGTAAAGGTGAATGCAGAAATTCTAAGGCCAGAACTTGGTGGTAGAAATTCTAACAAGAGAAAAGAGTACTAACACACACCAGGATGACATAAACACTCCACATGTATACAGGTAGTTAGTTTGAAAACCAAATTACATTTTTTTTAAACCACATTACATATTTTCCATTCTATTGTTATTTTAATTTTAACATATACTTGTGAACATTAGAGAACCACCTAAAGACAACAAAAGTTAAATGCATTTTTAAAAAAAACAGATGCCTGGGCAAAATGTTGAACATAAAACAGGATGAATTCAAGAGGGGTGGAGAAATAAGAGAAAGGACTGGGCAATAACTGGTAACAGCAGTTGTATGACAAGGAAGATAGCATTATGTTGGATACATCCTGGGAAGAAAGGAGTAGAGAATCACCAAGCAGGCACCAAAATGGGAAACAAAGTGACTAAGGATTCGAGGATGTCCAGAAGAAAAATGAATGTTGATGGGATAGGCCAAAGACGCTGGACTGGATTCCATCCATGATATCTAAGTGATTGCACTGGATAGAGCGGAATGGAGGAATAGCCTGCAAGCCCTGTATGACATGTGACAATGGTGACATGTAATGGTGCAACAGGGCAATGATGATGATGGTAGGTGAGGCCTTGACAGCTGGCAGCAGCGGCCAACCTAGAAGAGAGCCCACCTAGGGGACAGATACTCTGATCAAAAACCATTGCTGTCTTGTGGTCAGGCCTTGGTCAGTCCTGGGCTAAAGGAAACATTTAGTTGGTTTTTTTTCCTTTACAAGATGTCGCAAACCAACCACAGTATTTGTTGGCTGCTTTTCAGTAGTTTACCATTCTGTTCAAATGGTCAGCACAGCATACAATTGTTGACATCAGCACAAAGCAGTCAACTGCTAAACTGCCTACAGCTGAATTGAAGCGGGTATTTCAGAACTATACACCTCTAATGAGTTGAGGAATCCTGTCCTGAAAGAAAAATATGTTGAAATCTGAGGTACCAGATCAACAGGCACAAATCATCTGGGGATATCTTCCCTACATACATGGTGTCTCACATTAGTTACTTGCATATCCTTTACAGGACGTTGCAAAACCAACCCCAGCATTTTTTGGCAGTTGTTGTTTTTCTATGCAGATTTTACATTCAGTAGTTTGCCATTTCTTTCTGATTGGTCCAGCTCTCTGTACTACTGTTGGAACCAGCTCAAGATAAATCATCCGCAGCTGGGATCGAACCAGGCATAAGGAAACGCATTCACAACGCCTAAGCCACAGACACCGACTGTGTCACACATACCTTTTTAATAATATAATGAATGCGAGATAAGAATATGGTGTGAACCGCATGGCATGGCTTAACCCAGTAGGTTGATAATGAGTGTTATGGCAAAGTAAAGGATTACTTAACCCAGTAGGTTGGTAATCAGTATTATGGCAAAGTAAAGGATTTACTTAACCCAGTAGGTTGGTAATTAGTGTTATGACAAAGGATGGGATTACTTAACCCAGTAGGTTGGTAATCAGTGTTATGGCAAAGGATGAGATTACTTAACCCAGTAGGTTGGTAATCAGTGTTATGGCAAAGGATGGGATTACTTAACCCAGTAGGTTGGTAATCAGTGTTATGGCAATGTAAAGGATTACTTAAACCAGTAGGTTGGTAATCATGTTCCACATAGAGATAAAGAGCAGAAGGAAAAAGTATTCATTTGACAGAAAAGCTGAGCTGTGAACAAAACCAGCATCACTGCACTGTGAGTCAACCCTTCAGGTTGTCCATTTGTACCTCATAAGGAAAGCAGCGAAGATTAACACTGACCTACCATGCAGGTGGCTGCCAAGGTACCCTATTGCCTTGATGCTTGCTTGCCCACCAGAAAGCTTAGGGTTTGAAATCACATTGGGACAGATTTTTTTCCCCCCAAAGCATTGACCTTGGCTCCCAGGTTGACCCAGCCTAAAATAGTACCAGGTAATGTCCTGGGGAGTAAAAGTATCCGGGGTTGTGTTGACCACATCACCCTGCAAGTCCTGATTGGTCTATTAAAAAAATACAAAGTTTAGCATCATATGCTCAGTGCACCACTGGCATAGAAAGGGTCCTTCACTTGCTTTGCTATTGTGAAAAGGTACTAAGGAAGGCTCATGCAGGCTGCCTAGTCTCATGGACATCTTCAGCTTTAAGATTGATGGATCAAAGTGGAGGACAGAGCTGCCAGCAGCTGGTTTTTCCCCAGAATAAATGTATTTTAATTGACGTTTTTTGGGAATATCCGAACCATCAGCATGTCTGGTGGAGGACATGAAAGGAGCCTCAGGTGATGGCAAAAAATAGGATGGTTTGGTATGTATTGGTTGAGGGCTATGCTGCAAAGTGGAATGAAAGACGGAAAACAAAGAAAGTTTATGTTTATTAATCTTGTTATACATTGCAGATCTGATAAGGAGAACTCATTGTGGACCCAAGAAATAGTTCTTCTCTGATAAAGAGTTCAATCTAGAAAAATTGCCAGGGTTAAACCAATTGTTCTTCACAACAGAAATTCGCCTTAAGCAGTGTGCACTGTATTTCTAATTTTCTTATGTGCTGTATATTATTCATGAACTTTATTTTTCAGTACAGGCAACTGGTTTCAGCAGTTGAGCCCTGACCCTAGTCGTCTTCCTGCTCTAGTATGCTGTGTGTGTGTGTGTCTGTTGCTGTATGCTGATGATATTATCCCAACACAGTAAGTGAACACAAATAATGAGTAAATACACCTTTTTTTTTTCTTCGGATGTGAACATTCTACCTCTCTGTGTACAGAAAGGAATGCATCATGTGCTGATTTAAAACTAATTACATTTCTTCTGGTACCGAAAGATTACTTGTGTATTCACTCTTACAAGAGTGGTTGGCATATTGTGTTTGGTTTTCAGTTAGCCTGCAATATCTGCACCTTCTGGACCAAAAATATGATTTCTGCAAACTCCAATTAAGTAGCTTTTTACGACAAGCTTGTTATGGGGCATTGGGTCTATTATCACACCCCCCATTCTCTTAATGGGCCCCCAAAATCTACATGGGGGAAACAAAATATTTTAAAAGTATCTCCAGATTTGACACAGAATTTTTCTTCATCTCAGAGTTTGTTTTTTTCCTGTGTGGGTTTCAGGGTTCCAATTGGGTGGGAGGTAGAATAGACCCACCGCCCCCTTACAAACATGTCATAGAAGTCAACTAATTGGGGGTTTCTTCAAAGTCAAAGTGCTTCTGCTTAAGAGGTGAGTAACTAGCAGTTTGCATACAAATCAAATAAGCTAGATCTGTAAAACAAAGTTGCATGCAATACTCCAGTTCTGGAACAAGACTAAAGTCCAGAAGTGGAAAAGCAACAAGAATTATTGTTTACTGTTCTGGTGTAATTAAAAGTCAGTGAAGGACCCTTCTCCACATTTTGAAGCATTTGAAATATATTGCCCTCTATCTTTACAGACAGTGATCTCCCAGTGGGTGATGTGTTAAATATCACACCAGCTCCTTTGCATCCTGGGGCATTAACCAATTTTATACTGGCTTAACTTGGGTTAATTTTATAATGTAAAGGGTCTTTAAATGACAACCTTAAATGTTTTTGTGTGTGTGAATATATTGAAGAAGTACAGAACAAATGTAAAATATTGTTTATGTGTGCAGTCACCACTGTTCAATACAGATTCTCAGTGCCAATAAAGTGCTTGGATTCTGAAGAAGAAAAAATTACTTGGTCATGTGTGTAACCACTTGTGCACCACCTACTTTACCTCTTCATCAGACTGAAATGTCTTTTCTCCCAGTGACTCTTTGGGTTGTGTAGAAAGGTGGAAATTACTTAAGGCTAGCTCTGGGAAGTACGGGGGGATGTGGTACACACTGACAGTAGAGGTCTGTGTTAGTTTCAACTGTTGTGCGGGCAGTATGGGATCAAGCATTGTCACTTTCCCCCACCCTGCAGACACTCTGCAGCACTGTAGCACATCTTTAACTTCCTAAACTGCCTTGGACTGTGGGTCATACTATAGTAGTATTTGGTAGTTATGGGTGCTCTAATTGTGACTTCCCTGGAGTTTAAACAGGGTATCAGGACAAAATATCCTAATGGGGTGCACATCTAGGATGCAGCTGTTTAAAACAAAAGGGCGGGGGGGGGGGGGGGGGGATAGGCAGACACACACCATCAAATGAAAGGGAAAGTTACAGTTGATACATGCTAGAATAATTGTTAACATAACTTTGAATTAACAAAAATAGTAACATATTTGTGTCATCAAAGCAATGTTTCCCGTTGTGAATTTGAACCAAAAACAATAGATTGCACAATTTGTTGCAGAACTGTGCAGACAAAAGGACATGATCATCAACTTGCGGTTGCCCTGGTGAAACAGGCTGTTACTTCTGAATGTAGTCGATTTTGTGTTTCAGTTAGAAGGATTCATTTATTTGCTTCATTTTAATCAATTGTTACTGTAGTATGCACCTGACAAGATACAGCAAAACATGCCTGGCAGTAAATTGTGCCATCTATTGTTTGTGTCTTCCTTGTTCAAATACTCATGTCAGTTTGTATAGAGATACAGAATCGTGATATCTTAATGTTTGGTGCTCTAACTTATCCTCATAAAAGTCCAGGGTTCAGTGTTCAGTGGTGAAGGAAGTGTTCTGACAAGGATGATTAAAAGTACAACATAGGAATAAGTAGCTTGCTTGAAATGAGAGGGAAACGATAATTTCAGTGGACATATACTGAGATTAATCACTTATGAGGAACCGAGATGACATATTGGTAGCTAGATAGTTGTGTGGTAGTAAACAGTTTCAGCATTCGTGAGGCTTATCAAAATTGTAGTTAAAACAATGGAAATATTTTCAGAAACTGCAAAACTGGGTGTGTACAGTTGGGATGTATTTATTTATTTATTTTCAAAGGGTTACAAATTAGGCACGCAGGCCTGTCTTACATTCGGCCCTTTCAAACTTCCATCTTTCACACAGCAGTTGTATATGTAGAGGTGCTGAACCAGATGTGGTGGACCAGGACCAAGGCTCATACTGGTCAATACCTGCCTACACCTCTCCATGGTCATAAACCAACATAGAAACTAGTTTCCTCTTGGGGACCTGGCCAGTGGAGATAGAATCATTGTTTTCTTCAAGTTGGAGTGCATCTGTCTGAGAGGTAAGGAGCCAACAGTCTGCACACAGATAAGCCAGATCTTTAAAACTCAGGTCCTGGAACAGGACCAAAGCCGAGAAGTGGATGAACATCCATGGCTCTCCGACTGAGTTTACAGCTGGTGAACACAAAGCAGAAGGGATAAAAAAAATGTATAAAGTTGGCAGCAGTAGCAGCAGCCAAAATCTGCATTTAGTAACAGTGAGAGTGGGTTAATACCGAAGTTTGTCAGAAATGCAGTGAGGACATTAGAAAGTACAGGTGTTGACATGTTAGCTTTATGGTACTAGACTCATATTTATATACAATAATTCTGGGAAGGCCAACCCGGGCAACAGATGCCTGCAGAAGTCAGATGTGTCGCCCAAAGGGTGCAATTATTGCAGACATATTGTAATCACATTTACATATTCGGATGAACACAGAAGAAGACAAATATACAGTAATTGGCACTCAGTGGTTGATGGGGTTAACCTTATGCCAGACACCTTTACCTCCCATGTGAATTTTAAAAATCCGTCATCATATATATTGAAACCCAAGACCTTCGGATTGACAAGCAAACAGTAATATCGTATGTTAACCTATTAATTTATATATTAAATTTAAAACTTGTGTTTGAAAAATTCATGATTAATCTTGTTTTATACTAAAGGTTTTTCTCCTTGTATGCTTTGATGTATTTTCAGAGTACAAGGTGCAGTATCTGGCTGGTTAATCCGTCTCCTGGCTGTTGTAACTGTTTTGTATTCCATGGAATCTGTGTATCGACTTCCAACATTTACAGCATTGACATCACTGATCACTGCAGCACCCACAGTACTTGGGCTTGTGTCTCAGCTGATGAACACTGACAGAAGGAAGAAAGAATAGTTTCTGTATTTGCTCGTCCCCACTTCTTGTCAACTTAACCCTAGAAAAAATGATAAGGAAGGTAAAAGAGTATTGTGCTGTAGGAGAAACAATAAGAATACTTGATTTCGCAGATATATAGATGTAGTTGATGGAAAAAACTAGAGACTGTGGAAATGTTAACTTACTTAATGGAAGCAGCTCTAAAAATGGGACTAACGATCAATTACATGATAAGCGGATAAAACTCCGGACACATACAAATGAAAGTTTTTTAAAAGGGTTAAGATCCCTTTACCTGCTAGTCGCCCATAAAGCTTATGAGGCTGGAGTCATATTTTTTATAGACCAGTAGACCATCAGTGAGAGATGTGGTCAACATCACACTAGCTGCCTTTACTACCCAGGACTTTATCAGGTCCTCATTTAAGGCTGGATCAACCATGTCTGTCTGGGGAAAAAAATCCAACATACAAATAGATTATAATTAGTTGGTCAACACTTCCCCGTGTGGGTTCCGGGGCCCCATTGTGGGGAAAACAAGAATAGACTCACTGCCTTCCCAAAAGCATGTCGTAAGAGTCGACTAATTGGGCAGCTTCCTTTGAAATTGGAGTGCATCTGCCGGAGAGGCAAGGAACCGACAGTCTGTATTCAAGAGAATGAGATCTGTAAAACTGATGCACACGCAACACTCAGGTTCTGGAACAGGACTGCAGTTCAGTAGTGGACGAGCAACCAGAACCTTCCGCCAGAGTGTACAGCTGGTGAATGCGAAGAAGAAGAAGAAGCAGTTAGTCAACAGATTATACTCATTGCACATCAGACCATTCAGTCCATAAGTGCTCCGATCACTTCCTTAGTAAATCCCAAAGAGTGAAGTGGCTGACAACACCAGTTTAGTGTTGGTTTCTTTTTACAAAAAGATTATATAAAAATCAAAATAAAAGAAACATTCAAGTACTTCGGTACAAATTATACTGCTCTAACATACTAAGAGATGAAATACAATCTGGGCGAAAAAGTTTACTATGCCCTGCGACTTCTGCTAAATCAGATCATATCCTGGGTAATATAGCTGTCGGAATTCCATGGAATCTTTGTATCGACTTTCAACATTTGCAGCATTGACATTACTGATCATTGCAGCACACGTAATGCTTCTGTCCCAGCTGATGATGAACACAGAGAAGAAAGAAAGAGTATTTCTGCATTTGCATTCTTTATTTCTGTGGCCAAGAGGTTAGTGAATTTGTTTAACAATGATCCTCAAGTACTAGGGCTTGATTTCTGCAGTAAATAGTTTTTTTTTTTTTTTTTAAACCGTTCTCCTGGTTTGAGAGTCGCACTGTAGAAGAGATTGGGGCCTCACCAAGCAGTATTTCCAGACAGCAGTAGTTACCCTGTAGCCGAACTTCATTGTGGGGAGAGTACTTGGTTTCTTTCTTCATCAGCCACATCATTTTGCTCTCCTCCTATGGATTCCGAAGCCCCATTGTGGGAAAAACAAGAATAGACACACTGACTCTCCAATAAGCCTGTCGTACCAGTCAACTACTTAGGGGCTTCTTTTGAAGTCAGAGTGCATCAGCCTGAGCAGCAAGGAACAACTAACTGCACATAAATAAGCCAGTAAAACTGATGTACATGCAAAACTCAGGCCCTGGCACAAAGCCAAAGTCCAAATGGATGAGCAACCAGGACTTTCCATCAGAGCTTACAGCCAGTGAATATAGAAAAAGAAAAAGATTCTGCTGGTAATTAATTTGACTGTTTTTCTATTGCTACAAAAAATACAGCTATTGGAGCAAACTGTTTAAGCCTCCTAGTGTGTTTCTTTGTGGTGTAAATGTGATTTAATTTTTTTTTTAATGGCTTTGTTTTAGTTTTTTTCTTCCAGAGGTGAAAGTTTATTAGCCATTTATTGAAATGAATGTTACAGATACCTTCAGCAAATGAGTTATAATTGTCTGTTGCTTTTAGACTTGTAGCTTGTTATTGTGTTATCAAAAGATGTGATCACTTAAATTGAGATTAAATTGGCAGGACTGAAATTTACATAATGTCATAACGTTATAGTGAGTCAAACTATCTTGTACTATTTGACCAGATATGTCATATTTTGTATTACCTTTTACAATGTCATCGAAGACTAAACACATCAGTTAAATCAAAAAATTAATGCCAGAGGAAAAAGTGATGAGCATTAAATAGAATGACTTCAAGAAAGATGAAAAAAAAAATGTCTGGCATCAACAGTTATAAGATGAAGAAGATGGTGGTTTATTTGGCATAACATCTTCTTCTTCGCGTTCACCAGCTGTAAACTCAGGTGGAAAGTTCTAATTGTTCGTCCACTTCTGGATTGCAGTCTTGTTCCAGAACCTGAGTGTTGCATTTGCATCCGTTGGACAGATCTGACTAATTTGTATGCAGACTGTTGATTCCTTGCCTCTCGGGCAGATGCACTCCCACTTCAAAGGAAGCTCCCAGTTAGTCGACTCTTACGACATGCTTTTGGGTTGGCAGTGGATCTATTCTTGTTTTCACTATACATGACCCCAGAACCCACACGAGGAAATGGCATAGCTTGAGGAGAAGCAGCAGAGAAACACCAAACAGGCACTTTTGGATAATCAAACAGGTACAAATCCCAGAAACCCTCTGAAACAGTATAACCATATAGCTCAGTTATATTGGAGAACAACAAAATGGTTACAAAATAACCTGTAGTCCTGTGTGGGTGGGTCCCATACAGGCACTGAAATGGAAAAGAAACGGATTTAGGAAACAGGGTTGTCCAAGAAAAACCCTACTTGTTGAGAGAGGCCAAAAGTACTGGACTAGATTCCCTCAACAGTATCAGAAAGATTGCACTTGAAAGAACAGAATGGAGGAATAGACTGTGACATATAAATGGCACAACAGGATGTTGATGTGACTAAATGTATTATATTTTGATTGACATTTTTATTTTTTGGTACTTTACGAGGTCACAGATCTCTATATGTTTTGGATTCATACTGGTCAACCTGAATTGTTACCCTTTCAGTTGCTGTACTACCATCTGGCAGCTGTTGGGGTCATGAGAATACATTTTCTCTATTCTATGTTTACACATATGGATTATAGGATGTGTAAATTAGTCTACTCTTAGGACATGCTTTTGGGTAGGCAGTAGGTCTATTCTTGTTTTCCCTATAATAGGGCCCAGGAACCCAGACAGGGTATCAGGTGGTATCAGTATTAAAGGTTTACCACAATAATAAAGGGTTGACTTGAGTTTAGAATTGACATGATAGCAATCGAGACATTCCCATAAGTGCTCTGTCTCCCATCTTCAGCAGCCAGTGAAGAGTGTCAGTGCTGATGGACAGTAATAAGAATAAAGCAAAAGCAGACTGTCCGATAAGGTGGTAACTTGAGAAAGATATACATTTTATCCGTCAGTAGTTGAATGCTTTGTTGTGTTTCAGTTCCTCAAACATGTTCACACAGTCATGCTTATTAAATAAAGTGCTCCCTACATTTGTTTTATTCCAATATTAACGACTGTATCCGTGAAATATTTCTCCTAATTTTCTGGTTCTCTTTCTCCTTCTTTTCTCTAGACTCTGATCTGCTTTTCAGCGTCAGGATTTGATGAAACCTCTGATTTAAGCCTTGGTGTGTGCTAAATAGATACTGGTATTCACAGTCTTAGATATTACTTCTATCCATCCTTGGCATGGATGACCTCTAGGTTATCTTCCGTTGCATCTGAGGGACAGGACTCTATTTGTTGCACTACCTTGTGGTAGTCTTGACAAATGTCGAAACCATCTAAACAGTTGATCTGCAGCCTGGTCTGCATGTGTAATTATGTTGAAGAACGTGGATTTAGACCAGTAAAAATTATACTGTTGCAGATGTTTTCATGATTTTTGTTTTAGCTTAAGGTGGTTTCCAACATAAAATCAAAAAGTTTTGTATTGACTGTGTATCACTTCTATTTCTGGTTTAAATGCTGTTTTGTGCATTTTCTTCGTGATGAAGCATATCTTTTGTTGTGTTTTATTGTAGTACTGTATTTAATTTTCTGGCTTCAACCAGGATAGTAAAAGAACATGTCATTCTCATATTCTCTGTGCCTTCTTTCTCACCACTGATATGACTTTAGTCATTGCTCCTAACTACACCTGAGACTCTTTCGTTCCCGAGCTGTTCAACTGCCTCATGAATTTGACTGAGATACCATAACAGTGTCAGGTCAGTGTGAAATACTCTTCTAGCCACTATGCTTTTGTGGATCACTGCTAAAAGAGAACCACAGTCTGCTGTCCAGACTTCAGGTATGAACGGAGATAACAGCAAAATACAGCATGTTTTTTTGTTTTTTTTTTTAACCTCAAGGGACATACAAAAACATTTAGGTTCTAAGGAAAATAACTCTAGTGAATATTCATTTTAATTATTGTCATGTTAATTATTAGAAATTCAAAGAAACCTTGTTGCACACAGCACAGTTGACCTACACATTGCAGCCAGAATGCAGCCAAATTTCACTTCTAAAATGGTCACCCCTTTTTTGGATGTGGCCCTGTGACAGATACCAGACAGACACATGGATTTGCAGTTGTATACATTTCTTAAAAATTTGAATCAATGTATTTTAGCTTCATATATCGCAAATATAAACATTTTCTTGGCTGCTGTTGTGTTTATTACTTCACAGGCATCACCAAGCCTGAATATAGTTGTTTTGCAGACATTGTAAAGTACCAATTGTTATTGCTATGTTTCACTTGAAACTTTAAATGATTCCATATTAAATTCTCCAGTTATGTACAATTCCAGTAATCTCAGACATGATTGTGTTATATTATTCTTAATTATTTCTTGTCTGATGAATAACTCCATTCAACAAACAATTCTGATAGTTTGATGGTTTCGTATTTTTTTTCCCCTGCATTTGCAGGCTGTGGACTCTAGCAGAAAGTCCTGGCTGTTCATTCATGTCAGGACTTTGGTCGTGTTCTAGG